TGCGCCTAAAGCGTCGTTTAAGTGGGGTTCGTCGACAATGAGGGTCGGCGACTCTTTTTTAACGCAGTCAGCAGGGAATTCACATGTAATACAGTCCATGTATACTTAAAGTTGGAACCGCCCCTAGAATGTTAAGATATGGTTAAATTATTGTTAAGGAAAGTCGGAAACCCTCCTAGAAACCACCCTAGAATGTTAAGATATGGTTAAATTATTGTTAAGGAAGGTTGAAAACTATATCAGAAACCGCCTCAGAATGTTAAGCTGAGGTTAAATTATTGTTAAGGAAGGTTGGAAACTATATCAGAAACTCCCTCAGAATGTTAAAAGGCAGTTGAATATGTGTTCCTCCTCTCTTACACATCCACATTTCTCACATTGCTGCCTCCAATATTCCCTGTTAGTCCATGGGACCCCTTCTAACGCGTCAAAGCGGGGTAGCGTCCTACTTATCTTCTTAAAGTAGTCTATTCGATTCCTTATGTTCACAACGACCTATGAGATCGCCGCACTGGTAACAATCCACTCCTTCCAGATCGTACTTCTCTGAAAGGAATCGATAACTGTTCTCATGTCTCTGCTCATGCGTCTGAAGACGTTGGCGGCTACTAAGGATATTAGCACAGTAATTACATTCCGTTGTTCTACGGCAAATCCCCTTTCTTGACATGTTGCTGCAGCTTTTGAACTATTACAGTCATTGCAGACCTTACTAATTGGCTTATGCCAAACATGGTATTGCAGTCTTACCTTCTTACATTTCAAGCAGTCCATATATGCTTAACAATATCTTAACCTCCATTTAACATTCTGAGGCATCTTTTGGAGGAGTTTGACGGGTTCCTTAACAATAATTTAACCATATCTTAACATTATGAGGGGTTCCTAGGAGAGTTTCCGATCTTCCTTAACGAATTAACATTCTACATGGGATACCTCATGAAATCCTTTACGGAATCATTCGCCCACGTTGCCATTGTTATCAGCGCGCCAAACCGCTCTGCGCGCTTTATGCCGCACATTTCATCATAAAGCTCCTTTATACGTTCATTCAACCGGTCTATCTCCTCCCTTTGCATCTCTATCGTGTCGGACTTATCTTCGAGTTTGTTAACCATTGCTTTGACTGCTTCCACGGGCTCCATATATACCAGCAAATAAATTTGCTTCTAGAAGGCAACTAGTGAAAATCCCTGTGATTTTCTAAAATATATGAACCCAGATCACATGCCTTTTAACGCTCTGATCGTAGGCTCTACCGGCTGCGGAAAGACCCAGTTCGTGGTAGAGCAGCTGCTAGGACCCTTTAGATACCGATTTGACTATATCGTGCTGCTGTGTCCCACCTACGTGAACAACCGCACCTGGACGGGCGTGGGCGCGAAAGATGATGACTTCTTTGTGGATATCTTAGACCCTAACGAGTTATC